TTACCAGAGCCAATGGTTGGATAGATGCATATTTTAGTGGTTTTTAGATGTTGGATTGACCGATTTATATATAGAAAAATAAATGGCTTGATAGATAAATTGATAGACAGATGACTAAGTTGGGTAAATAAACAGTTGATTAGACAGACAGTTGGATAGATTCATGATTAGATGCATTTGTACTGGATAGATAAATGTTTTTTATAGATGGTTGACCGCGAATTGATGGATATATCCTGATTTGATATATAGTTAGTTGTAGATACATAAACAGATCTGTGTTATTAATGTGTGTGTGGGTTTTGAGAGGGTTCAGACAGGGTGACTGTAAAGCTGAAGATCTAGGGAGGCTGGCTGTGACAGAGGTGTGTGAAAGGAAGTGTGTAAGTGTGAGAGGGCTGGAGTGGCGTCTGTGCGTGTGTGTGATGCTGAGGAGTTGTTCTTCTCCTGCTGGGAGCTCTACACAATGTCCACCCCAGAAATGGCCCTCACTTCCTGTCCGCTCCATTCCCAGGACCCGTTCCTTCCCCTCAGCCCATCTAATGAGTAGAGTGACCGCATCTCTAACCATGTGGAAGGGCTTTATGAAGAGCGCGCGTCTCTATATGCTTATGCATTATCTGCATTTGAATAGTGCTTGAACAAAGGCGATGAAACCTATATACAGTAATCTAAGTCACTGAGCACTCTCACCCATCCCAGAAAAAATAATGGCCCCCGCCGGAACACATTAATGGCACAGTCTCATTAACACTCTCAATAGGTCAGGCAATACCATGAGTCTCAGAGAGGAGGATGGGCACAATTCATTATTTTTGCCATCTCAGTGGCCACTGCTCACAGTCTTAGCCATTTACTAATGTGACCATTACTCAGATTATATAATAATGTCATCATTATAGTTTTAATTCTTAACTTACTTAACTCTTAACTAACCCTAATCTATCTATCTATCTATCTATCTATCTATCTATCTGTCTGTCTGTCTGTCTGTCTGTCTGTCTGTCTGTCTGTCTGTCTGTCTGTCTGTCTGTCTGTCTGTCTGTCTGTCCGTCCGTCCGTCCGTCCGTCCGTCCGTCCGTCCGTCCGTCCGTCCGTCCGTCCGTCCGTCCGTCCGTCCATCCATCCATCCAACTATACAAATATCCATCCATCCATCCATCCATCCATCCATCCATCCATCCATCCATCCATCCATCCATCCATCCATCCATCCATCCATCCATCCATCCATCCATCCATCTATCTATCTATCTATCTATCTATCTATCTATCTATCTATCTATCTATTTATCTATCTATCCATCATCCAAATATATATTTATCCATCTATCCGTCCGTCTGCCCATCCATCCATCCATCCATCCATCCATCCATCCATCCATCTAACTTTTCATCCATCCATCCATCCAAATATCCATCTCTCCATCTATCCGTCCATCTGCCCGTCCGTCCATCCATTCATCTATCCATTCATCCATCCAAACATCTGTCTATCCATCTATCCGTCTGTCCGTTCGTCCGTCCATCCGCCCATCCTTCCATCCATCCATCCATCCATCCATCCATCAAACTATACAAATATCTATCTATCCATCCATCCATCCATCCATCCATCCAAATATCTATCTATCATCCATCTATCCATCCATCCATCCATCCAAATATCTATCTCTTCATCTATCCGTCCATCTGCCCGTCCGTCCATCCATCCATCCACCCATCTATCCATTCATCCATCCAAACATCTGTCTGTCCGTCCGTCCGTCCATCCACCCATCCATCCATCCATCCATTCATCCATCCATCCGAAACTTATGAATAATTATATCTTCTCAAAATAACATTTTAAACATTTTTTTTTAATTTTATTATATTCCTCGTATAATTTATAACATTGGTATGTTTAACTGTAAATTGACTTAATAGAAAATTGTTAATATAAATATATACTATTTATTAATTAATTATCTACTATAAATTAAAATTCTTGTTTTTTAATACATTTATTTTGGACATTTAAACAGAACTCTTTAGACCAGATGTTCCTCAAAATAAGAACATATTATAACATTTTAAAGTCAACTGCTTAGATGGTCAATTGTTTTAAAGTGATTATGAAAAGGTAAACTATTTTTCTATATTGTTTCTGAAGACAGACAGTTTTTTACACAGCAGATGTGCTTCTGGAACTGGCCTCAAACTGACCTGTCCTGATTTACTGCCCACTTCCACGTTTACCAAGGATGCTTGTCATGATGCTTGTCACCAAAGGAGAATTGATTGCATTAACACTTGTTTGCAGTTCTGTTGATTAGCACTGCCTAGTGTGACTGTGATCCTTTAATCCTTCAGTCTAATCTGATAATGTTCACATTCTCTCTGTCTGCCTCTCTCACACACACACACTTACTTCTACAATAGATCAAACACACACAGGCTTAACACATTAGGATCATCTGCTGATGCTTTAACTGTTCAGAGTTGCATGTAAATCAACACCTGAGCAAGAACAGAGCAACCGTCTGATATTCGCCTCATCACCCATCGTCATGGAGGAAACATGGAGCATTCAATCGATCATAACTGTTAAAAATTTTTAAAAATATGTTTGTAAAATGCAAGTTTACTAAACTAAGGTAACCTTAACCCAAAAAGTTTACCATTTAGTTTAAAAACTAAACCTAATAAGTACTGTGAACTTAACTATTTGAGTGAACGAAGCAATTTGAGCACAGTAAATGAAGAGAACTCTGAGTACTGTAAAACCCAATAAGTTATGGCAACTCAAACCATTTGAGGAAACCGATCGCTACAAACAATTTGAGTTAAACTAATCTATATAAGTACTGTAAATTTACTCCATTTAAGTTGAAATAATGAGGTATTTATTTAACTCATTACCTTCAACACTGAGTTTAAAACTCTTTTCAAATTAGTAGAATCAACTTTTTTTGTAAATGTTAACTACACTCATTTCATTTAATAATAGAGTGTAGTATACAAATATGACATTTTTATCAAGTATATATATATATATATATATATATATATATATATATATATATATATATATTGACTGCCAAATGGTTTATATTTAAAACAGGTACTATTTTGTCCAAGCAAAACTAAAATGTTGTCATTTTTGATGCTATAAGGGAATTTATTATACAGTTTGTTTATATATTTAGGAAAACAGCTCATAAATGACACAGATTTGGGTATTTTGGAATAATTAAAGTGCTGAATGTTTCCTGTGAGTGTTGGGTTTAGGGGTAGAGTTGTGGTATGGGATAGAATATACTGTCAGTTCAGTATAAAAATCAATGTCAATGAGCAATGTCCTCATAAAGATAGCTGTGCGTGTACGTGTTCGCACACATTTAGGTGTGTGTATGTACAGTGGTGTAACAAATTGTTTGCCTTTTCCTATTAATATTTTGTTTGCATGTTTGTCACATTTTAATGTTTCAGATCATCAAACAAATTGAAATATTATTAAAAATATCATCATGGAGTTTGTAAATGAAGGTTTTTATTATTAAGGGAAAACAAGATACAAAACTACACAGCCCTGTGTGAAAGAGGGTTTGATTTTTGTTCTGGGGCTGCTTTGGTGCTTCAGGACCTGGAAGACCTGTTGTAAAACATTACAATTTCAGCTTCAAAAAGAGCTAAAATTCAATCTTTACGCTTGAACATGACTCATGATTCACTATTTTGAGACAGTTCACAAAACCAGTATGAATTTTTTTCAACACAAATTTGACTTATTTGGATTTTAGGTTTAACTCATTGATTAGGTATCCACCTACCCTGATACCTGATACTATACCTAATACCCTGAAAGAGAAGGTCTGGCCATCTGTTAGTGACCTCAAGCTGAGGTGAACTGGGGTTCTGCAACAGGACATTGATCCAAAACATAACAGCAAGTCCACTTCTGAATGGCTGAAAAAAAAACAAAATAAAGATTTTGGAGTGGCCTAGTCAAAGTCCTGACCTGTATCCAATTGAGATGATTATCTTAAAATGGCAGTTCATTCTTAAAAACTCTCCAATGTGGCTTAATTACAATAATTCTGCGAAGATGAGTGGGCTAAAATTTCACCACAACAGATGTGTAATAAACATGATGTAGAATACGAAATCAGTAAGGTCGCGAACACATTTTTCACACCACTGTATGTATGGTCACAAAGGCTGGATTATTTTACCATAAATACATTTTATCATAATTTTCATAAACATAATAAATATGATTTAAAGCTTAAGAAACATCTTATTAGTGTTTTATAATATTATATAATCTAATATAATAAAAATCTAATCTAATATAATCTAATATAAAACAATATAATATAATATAATATAATATAATATAATATAATATAAAATATTTTAATATAATATAATAATATAATATAATAATAATATAATATAATATAATATAATATAATATAATAATATAATATATAATAATATAATATAATATAATAATATAATAAAATATAGAATGTAATATAATAATATAATACAATACAATATAATAATCTAATATAATATAATATAATATAATAAAATAATATAATATAATCTAATATAATCTAATATAATATATTATATTATAACATGATATAATATAATAATCTAATGTAATATAATAATATAATATAGTAATATAATAATATAATATAGTAATATAATAATATAATATAATATAATATAATATAATATATGTGTTGTTTGGTGTTTGTGGAAATAATTAGACATTTTAGAAACATTTTTTTACATGAATATAAATAAAAAACTGCATATATTTGGATGAGAACCAATTTTAATATTATAAAAAAGATTCACTCTCACTTTTGATCAATTTAATGCATCCTTACTGAATTTGAAAATGGATTCTTTTCAAGAACGATGGTTTCCTGTTATCGATCGGATGCAATATACAAACCGACACCTGCATATTGTTTTGTCTCAGAGATCCCAGGATTCCTGAGTGTGGAGGAGAGTAATGTGGTGATGCAGCTGGCGCAGTTGAAGGGTTTGACCCACAGCTCTCTTCTTACTAATCCTGACCAGGAGGAGCAGCTCACTCAGGACGAGCTCTTCAGCCTCCTTGACCTCAACCAGGACGGCCTTCTGCAGAGGGAGGAGGTCAGACACTGTCACCATTACACAATCACTGCTGATGTCCACTCCAAAATGAACATTCTGTCATCATTTATTTAAAACTTGTTTCATGTCAAACCTATAAGACTTCATTTCTTTTGTGGAACAGAATTGAAGATAGTTTGCAAACTTCATTAAGTCGGTGGAAATTACCATTACGGTGACCAAGAGAGCTCAAATGTGGGATAGTCCACCCAAAAATGAAAATAAACTCACTAATGATGAGTATATTTTCTCAAGTGGTTCCGAATCTTTTGGAGTTTCTTCATTCTGTTGAACACAAAAGAAGATCTTTTAAAGAATGCTGAAAACCTTAAAGTATTGATTTTTATAATAGGAGAAACAAATAAAGTTACAGCTTTCTTCAAAATATCTTCTTTTGTGTAGTAGTGTGTGGAATAAATTAACGCAAAGTAGATGATGGCAGAATGTTTGGTTTTTTGGGTGAACTATACCTTTAAGAAAACACATGCTGTTCATGATGTGATAGATAGATAGATAGATAGATAGATAGATAGATAGATAGATAGATAGATAGATAGATAGATAGATAGATAGATAGATGACAGATAGAAAGAAAGAAAGAAAGAAAGAAAGAAAGAAAGAAAGAAAGAAAGAAAGAAAGATGATAGATACAAGTACAAAATGCACTACAAATAGTGCAGGCCACAAAATAAATGTGTCAGCAGAGCCCAGAAGGGATGAATCCGAATGCAGTTTACGTTTGTTTACAAAATAACATTTCATTTCATTTTAATTGTGCAATTTGTCTGATTATTTGGGATAAAAATATACAATTATTAAGGAATCGTATGACCAGGACGTTTTAAATTAACAAAAACCTCAACTCAACTCATCTCTAAACAGGAAGCAGCCGGGTTTGTCACTTTTTGGCTTCCTCTAACATATTTGTGTTGTGCTCTGCATTATTTACAGCACATTTCTGTGTTTTCATTTGTTGTCAAATTGACGGAGATGTTTTCACAGTTTATTAGTGTTTTTCTATTTGAATCTTTTCTTAACTTGCTCTTTAAGTTCTCTTGGCCACCATACACAATGGATTGGTTGTCATAATTTGTCAAAATAGCAAAAAGTAGATATTTTGAAGAATGTTGAAAAGCGCTAGACACGACATCCATAGTAGGAAAAACAAATACTATGGAAATCAATGGTTATCAGTTTTCAACATTCTTTAAAATATCTTTTGTGTTCAACAGAACAAAAAAACTTAAACTGGTTTGGAACAAATCAATAATGACTAAACGATGGCAAGATTTTCAATTTTGGGTGAACTATCCCTTTAAGAAAACACATGCAAATAGAAAATGCTCTACAAATAGTGAAGGCCACAAAATAAATGTGTCAGCAGAGCCCAGAAAGGGATGAATCCGAATGCAGTTTACATTTGTTTACAAAATAACATTTCATTTAATGTAAATTGTGCAATTTGTCTGATTATTTCGGGTTAAAAATATACAAAGAATAAGGAATCGTATGACCAGGACGTTTTAAATTAACAAAAAAAACTCAACTCATCTCTTAACAGGGAACAGCCGGGTTTGTCACTTTTTGGCTTCCTCTAACATATTTGTGTTGTGCTCTGCATTATTTACAGCACATTTCTGTGTTTTCATTTGTTGTCAAATTGACGGAGATGTTTTCACAGTTAGTGTTTTTCCGTTTGGATCTTTTCTTAACTTGCTGCATGTTTAAGCTCTCTTGGCCCCCATACACAATGGATTGGTTGTCATAATTTGTCAAAATAGCAAAAATTAGATATTTTGAAGAATGTTGTAAAGTGCTAGCCACAACATCAATATTTGAAAAACAAATGCTATGAAAATCAATAGTTCTCGATATCCAACATTCTATAAAATATCTTCCTTTGTGTTCAATAGAACAAAAAAATTTAAACGATGGTGGGATTTTCAATTTTGGGTGAACTATCCCTTTAAGAAAACACATGCAAATAGAAAATGATCTACAAATAGTGCAGGCCACAAAATAGATGTGTCCGCAGAGCCCAGAAGGGATGAATCCGAATGCAGTTTATGTTTGTTTACAAAATAACATTTCATTTAATGTTAATAGTGCAATTTGTCTGATTATTTTGGGATAAAAATATACAAAGATTAAGAAATCGTATGACCAGGACATTTTAATAAAAAAAAAACTCAACTCACCTCTAAACAGGAAGTAGCCGGGTTTGTCACTTTTTGGCTTCCTCTAACATGCTCTGCATTATTTACAGCACATTTCTGTGTTTGCATTTGTTGTCAAATTGACGGAGATGTTTTTACTGTCTATTAGTGTTTTCTATTTGGATCTTTTTTAACTTGCTGCATGTTTAAGCTCTCTTGGCCACCATACACAATTTATTGGTTGTCATAATTTGTCAAAATAGCAAAAAGTAGATATTTTGAAGAATGTTGAAAAGAGCTAGCCACGACATCCATAGTAGGAAAAACAAATACTATGGAAATCAATGGTTATCAGTTTTCAACATTCTTTAAAATATCTTTTGTGTTCAACAGAACAAAAAAACTTAAACTGGTTTGGAACAAATCAATAATGACTAAACGATGGCAAGATTTTCAATTTTGGGTGAACTATCCCTTTAAGAAAACACATGCAAATAGAAAATGCTCTACAAATAGTGCAGGCCACAAAATAAATGTGTCCGCAGAGCCCAGAAAGGGATGAATCCGAATGCAGTTTATGTTTGTTTACAAAATACCATTTCATTTAATGTAAATTGTGCAATTTGTCTGATTATTTTGGGATAAAAATATACAAAGAATAAGGAATCGTATGACCAGGACGTTTTAATAAAAAAAAAACTCAACTCATCTCTAAACAGGAAGCAGCCGGGTTTGTCACTTTTTGGCTTCCTCTAACATGGTCTGCATTATTTACAGCACATTTCTGTGTTTTCATTGGTTGTCAAATTGACGGAGATGTTTTTACTGTCTATTAGTGTTTTTCTATTTGGATCTTTTTTAACTTGCTGCATGTTTAAGCTCTCTTGGCCACCATACACAATGGATTGGTTGTCATAATTTGTCAAAATAGCAAAAAGTAGATATTTTGAAGAATGTTGTAAAGCGCTAGCCACGACATCCATAGTAGGAAAAACAAATGCTACGGAAATCAATGGTTATCAGTTTTCAACATTCTTTAAAATATCTTCTTTTGCAGAACAATAACAACACTGACAAACAAATCAATGATGAGTAAACGGTGGTGGGATTTTCAATTTTGGGCAAACTATCCCTTTAAAAGATGACACGGGTGAATTATCCTCTCATGGCGAGAGTGTGAATATGATGAACTGAGACAGATTAATAACATGATAATTCCTGGAGCTTAAAGCATCTGTTCTGCTGCAGATTTTGAGTCTTTCCCACTCCACCGATGGATCTTGGCTGAGCTCATACAATTTACGGAAAATCCACACCGGGCTTGAGACCAACCCTTCTGGTAAGTGAAGTGTGTGTGCGTGTGTGAGAGCGGTGGGTCTGATACAATGACACGACATGCAGTGTTTTCTAGTAGCTTCCGGATGGATCCTATTAAAGTCTCATTAATGGGGGGGTTTACACACACACACACATCCGCCTGGCATACGGACTCACCGAGGTAACGTCCCCTCTTCCGGTCCCCCCTGCCCTATTGTCTGGAGAGCATCCCGCTGTGGTTCGGTTCCGGAGGGGAAAGAGTGAAGACCCACTGACCCGCGAATAAAGGAGAAAAACACAGAAATGCTATTCTTGTTATTCTCGCCTGGTCTATTGTAACGCTGCCATCAACAATATTTGATCTGTGATATTTGCGCAGGCAAGCGTCTCTATTGCTGTTGCTCATATTTATAGTATTCAAGCACACCATTTCCTCTTGTGTGTTTAAAAAAACAACAAAACACCATACAGATTGGGAACAAGGGTGAGTAAACGATGAGTAAATGTTGTTTTTTGGGTAACCTATCCCTTTAATACATGATGTGTAATTTAATTTGACCTACGACTGTAAAAAATATGGACAACGCAACAGCTCCTTTTCCTGTTGAACGCTTTGAAGGTAAAACACCTCATGACGGGCACAAACTGTCGCAAAAGACTGCTGAAATAGAGTGGAGGAACTATGACGTCACTTTGTAGGCTAATCTACTTTATGCTAGCTAATCTGCTAGCATAAAACTGGTTCCCTCGTGAAAATCCCAATGGGATTTTCCCATAGGCTTTTCGAAGATTGCAAATAATAAGCTCTGTGTTCAAACACTGTTCATTATACTTACACGTTTTCTTCAGCCGGATAATCCTCACACATAAATACAACTTTGAGCACTTTTGGATCTTAAATACGAACGCTAGAATTGAAAAGCTAACATTAGGCTATAAACAGACTACAGTGCCCTCTGGGCGCTCGTCTGACGTCAGCACTACCCTGATACAGACAACTTATCAAGCTTATTTTTAGAAATATTGTCCATGACAAAGAGCTAATCTCTCTGTATATTATATTATAATCCATGCTATGTATTGTAAACAAATAAATACACAAAAACACATAGACCTATGTGCCTATTGGATCGTTTTTATCGTTTTACACTCTGAAATAAATATAAAAATGGCGCGTTCCCTTTCCTTTTCATTACAGGTGCCGTCTCCGCTCCTATGCAATCCTCAAAACAGTCATATAATGGTGCATGTCTGTCAGCTGACGCGCTCCATAGTGTTAAATAGACTCTGTTTCCCAAACGGACTCTGTATACGCGATTTGAAGCGGAGCGAAAGTCTGGCTTTTGGGTGCGTGTTTAAACAGACATATACACATAATTAATAATAATAATATCTAAAGATGTCGATCTTGGTGTCTTTTTTTTTTTTTTTTTTTTTTTTTTAGTTTCTTAATATTTTATTTTTCAGTGTAACGTTATATGGTACCATTTCAGTAAGGATTGTAATTCAGAACAAACTACACTTGCCAAGTGTTAACTGTCTCCATGAATTGTAAGGAAATAAAAGCTTTTGAATGGTTTGATCTAATTTTGAAAGTTTTTTTTTTTTTTTCCAAGTTAAACATGTTTATTTAAGGTTTTCAAAAAATTTTACAATGTGCTTTTACAGACATAATCAAAGGCAAGTTTTACAAAAATGTGCAAAGAATTGTAGGAATTGTAGTAATCCTTAAAAACAAGCCAGCAGATATATGGAGGTAAGGGGAAAAAAAAAGGAAAAAGGGAAACGTCATACTATCTATAAGTATCAATATTGGCAACCAATTAGTCATATAGTCCCTGGAAAGGCACACAAAACTAAATATATATTTTCCTCATCACAGCACATTCCTAATAATATGGACATGTCATTTGAAAAAAAGAACATTAGAACAGAACAAAAGAAGATTAAAAAAACAACAAAAATAACAAACAAAAAACAAAAGACCATTCTCTGAGCCTCTGACAACCCTCCTCTACAAAACAAAAACCTAATTAACACAAAACTATTTCCCTCACATGTGAGGGCAAGTGATCTATAAAAGGAAACCATATATTTTGAAAACTTTGTATGTTGTCATTAAGCACAGCTGAAAGCCTTTCATGGGGCAAAACCGCAAACATCTCTCTGTACCTTTGTGTCACAGTGGGGGGAGTGTGTTTTATCCATCTAATAAGGATGCATTTTCTTGCCACAAGTAGCAATTTATCTAACAATTTATAACCTTTGGTGTCAAGGGTCAATGACATTGCTTGTGTTTTAGAAGGGAGTCCCAAAAGAAAAAGACCAGGATCTTTTTTTAATTTGATCTTAAAAATTGTACTAATGTCTTTTTTTTTTCAAGCACAACTAATTTCATCTTAAATGAGCATAAAAAGTTAGGAAAGCAGTCGAATGCCTTCATTATATTGTTAGATGTGTGCATTTTTAAAGTGAGACCTGTTATTTAATGTAATCAAACGAAAAAATCTAAATAAAAAAGAAATTCGTTGTTTGCTCTTTATTTAGAATGTGTAAGTTATACAGTGAGGAAACAGCTAATGAGGTTTGATAGCTTGATTCTATTTCATTATAACAGCTATTAATTTTAATAAGCTGAACTGTTTGCTAATGTATTTGCTGCTAATGTATGGCTGCGCCCGAAACCGCATATTTCCATACTATAAAGTACACTAAAATCAGTATGCGAGCCGAGTAGTATGTCGAAAATCAGTATGCGAGAAGTACCCTGATGATTTACTACTTCCGGCGAGATTCTGGAGTGCGAATCCCATGCATGCTGCGCTATCCCATGAAGCCCTGCGAGCAAATTCATGAATGTGAGTAAAGCGACGCAATCGATGCAGTTAGGTCATGTGACCATGACAAAATGGGGGATGCAGTAAGTCCGAATTCCATTCATACTTTTCGCATTCATACTGTATAGAACATACTTATCTAATGGCCGAGTAGTACGTTTAAATTCAAATGCAGTACCTATTGAGTAGTAGGCGGTTTTAGATGCAGCCATGGAAGTGAAGCGACGCAACTGACGCAGGTAGATCACGTGACCATGGCAAAATGGCGGATGCAGTAAGTCTGAATTCCATTCATACTTTTCGCATTCATACTGTATAGAACGTACTTTTCTAATGGCCGAGTAGTACGTTTAAATTCAAATGCAGTACATACTGAGTAGTAGGCAGTTTCAGACACAGCCTATATATTTTTTTGTTTTTAAATAATAATAATAAAACAGTGGCAACTGTCTGTGAATACAACGAGCTTCTAATGGCAAAAATGGTAATTTTTTTTTTTTGTAATCACACTTGCTAAAAACATTCTGCAGAAACACTTTAATTGACATTTTCCCTTTTGTACATGTCATCAGAGGAGGAAAGCTCCGTCATTAGTGATGATCTCTCCCTCATTAACAGGAAGTTATTCTTGTTTTTGAATCTGAGCTCCACCCTCGTTTGAAAAGTGCACAGTCTCATTTAAATTTAAAGCGACAGTCACCAAAATGGCACAAGTAGGATCAAAGCCTAATAGGGGCAGCTTTAAAGAGTTATAAAACAGTATTTGTGGAATATTTTGAGCTCAAACTTCACATACACACTCAAGGGACATCAGAGACTTGTTTTACATTTTGTAAAAATCAGCATAATAGGCCCCCTTTAAAAAGGTTTAGAACACCTTAGCAATACCCTAGCAAACTTATAGGAATGTGATATTATTCCTGCTATTCTACAGTGAAGCCGCAGCTGACTTGTATTGATGTGTGTTTGCAGGAGTTTTGTCTCTGCAGGAGTTTAAGCGTGTGAGTGGAGGAGTGCTGCGTTACAGCGGTACTGCTCAAGGCCTGGACGGACACACCAAGGTCAGACAGAGAAGCACACACACGCGGCTGTACCTTGGAGAGGGCACACACCACCTGCTGAAAAGCGTCAGGAACAGGTAATGCATGCTGAAGGCTGGAAAAGAGAGTAACGCTCAGGGCCTTGTTCAATCTGTCACAGCAGACCACATTACTAAGTTACAATTCTGTCAATATTTACTCACCTCATATCAATCCAATGCCATTCCAGTGCCTTTCTGCTGCCAAGACAGTTGAAACTTTGTTGTGTTTTTTTTCAATCTGTACACTTCTGTTGTACAAACAAGATACGAGTTTTGTTTTGGACTCTTGTATTAAATTGAGTCAATTTTTAGTTCCGTTATAGAACACAACAAAAATATTTTGTCAAAGACTATAGAATACACAAGGCATGCCATTTGTATAGTTTTGTATTGGGAAAATTGTAACGGTCAATAGATACCAGTAGATACCCTTTCACACAGTGATACCGGTAAATGTATGGAAAATTTTACCGGTAACTTTACCGGTGACTTTACCGGTAAATTCAAAAAAGCGCTGTTCACACAGACAAGGACATTACAAAATTTTTCCAGAAAAGAGCATTCACACATCCATCCCAAAATACCGGTAAATTCTGACATCATTAACCAGAAATGAGCTCTAAACGGCTGCGCTTGTATTTGTAAACATTGGACTACATCACAAACTCTGTGGATGAATCAGTATTGTGAAAAACTTCGATGAAAACATATAGAGAAACACTTTCACATGTCGAGATGTACATGATATGTTTGTGTGCTGGCGCTCGCGGGCTGTTTCACGGCCACACGCAAAGCTTGAAGTTAAACAACGGCTTATCATAAGCATCTTATCGATAATTATTTACTCGGATGGCATTAAGATGAGCATACAAACGTTATATGACTAATTTCTAGCAGGTAAATGTGTCTGGGAAAATATTCAAAGGCTTTTATTTTCGTAAACCGTGCGGATGTGAATGCGTCTGGCTGTTCTGATTGGCTAAAGCAGGCGTCTCACATCAGCACATTCTAGACGTGTACGCGCTCTTTCCGGATATCTTCCTTCTGCGTTCACACAGCGCAGCATTCCGGCAAATTACCGGTAATGTTACAACTTCTCTTTCCTGAAAACAGCCAGGACGAATTTACCGGTATTTTTAAAAAGGGGCCGTTCACACACACACACCTTTCTAAAAAATTGCTGGTAATTTTCCGGAAAGGTCTGTATGTGTGAAAGGGGTTAAAGGTGAATGAAGCCCCGCCTACTAGCACAGGAGTCAATCAGCAAACAATATAAACTAATGTTTCTCCGGCGCAGGGGCTCAGACCAGATGGGAGTTTCTGCAGATTTTGTGTGATTGAAACCTTTAGAAATGAAACTAAATTTCACACTGCTGTTCTTTAATTTTATTGGCGATTGCTAATATGCAATCTAATCGTAAGCTTGGCAGGTAGTTTTGGAGAATTTGATGTTTCCCTAGAATGCCCGAGCATACTGCCCAAGAGGTGTTTCAAAGATGGCCGCTGACTGATTTGGCGTGCTATAAAGGGACTTTGATTTTGTTTAATAGAACCAAGTGCGTAGAGTGCTAAAGTGTGCCCTGCGCGCTTGCATTTTTTAAAGAAACTTCTTTATTGTATTATTCTTTATTTATTTTTTAATGTTATCTGTCAGATTTTCATTGTATTGATGTACACTTGGCAAATGATGATAATTTATACGCTATTTCTCTGTGAAAAAATGTTTGAAATATGAAGGTAAATAGTCCTTGTGGTTATTCATGGAATAATGAAATGAAAATGAGAGTGGCCGTCTAACTAATGACGCATTGTAATTGACTATGGGATTAAAGGGTGGAGTGAGAGGATTGTATCACACACTGAGGAAGGCATTGTGCCAAAACGTTTGTGTTTTTAAACCACCCAAAGAAGGAAAAAAGAAAAAAGTATGAAGCAATTACTTGACGAGTGCGAATCATTACCTTTTTGTTTAATAGAACCAACAAAAATCAAACTGGTTTGAAACAAGTCAAGGTCAAGTCAAGCCTGTGAGTAGATGATGAGAGAATTTAAAACTTTAAGTGAACTATCATTTGACCCAGTTCACCGCAGATGGTTTGTTCTAGAGATCTGCGCTGGACTAAATTTTGAATCCTGCACCCGCCAGGTTTTAGCCCGAACCCGACCGCTCCCGCTTATATTCAGCATTTGTTGTTCCGCTGCCCGCCCCGCCCCATTTTCTACCCGCCGTGCCCGTTCCCATTAATTGACGGGGGGGGGGAGAACAAAACTGAAAACCACCCAGCTATACAGAGTACAGACAGCCTATAACACGCTGTCTGTATAAACACACACACACACACAAACACACACACACACACACACACACACACACACAAGCACAAGCAAGTGACACACACACAGACAGCGTCTCGCTCTCTCTTTCATTCACACACACAGAGAGAGAGAGAGAGAGAGAGAGCTCTCATTCGCACACACACATAGACAGCAATAAACAAGCTAAACGCAGCATCATGCTGTCTCTTACACACACATACATGCCCGTGCTCGCTTGCTCCGTCCAAAATAAAACCGTTACGACCACTCCTGCGATTTATTCAGGAAATGTATTCCTGTGCCGCAGAAATGTGATCGGGTCCCGCGGGAATGCAGACCTCTAGTTTGTTTTGCTTTCTTAACCAAACTTTGGGCAAAATTGCTAAATGTCTGGTTATTGGCTAGACCTATATGTCACAAAACAGAACTAGTTTAAACACACAAAAAGCACAGACGATGATTCAATCTTTCTCCAGAGTGACCCGTTTAACACGACTGCCATCCTCATTGGTCGATCTCAGCGAGGCAATGGAAGTTGTCCGTTATGAGCAGGGTGGCTTCAGCCACGCCCACCACGACAGCAGCCCCACCCACCCCGACAACAGCTGCACCCACACACATCTGGCAGCAAACACCTCCAACCAGGTGGCATGCAGGTATACTCCTGATAAGATATTGTGCCTAATTGAACTGAATGTTTAAAACATTACCAGATATACGAGAGTGTCTTCTTCACAGATATCTGACGGTCTTGCTGTATCTGAACTCTGCGGATAGCGGAGGAGAAACCAGCTTCCCCGTCGCTGACAACCGGACTTATGAGGAGGAGGTGAGCCGTGCCCTGTTTCTGTGGCAACAGAGGGTGGTGAGCTCTGTTGCCGTAGCGACCAGGCAGGAACAGGAAGAGGGTCCTGAAATATGATGTCTATCTTGGGCATTTGATGTTGCTGCAGCTTCACCTGAAAACTGTGTGTGTGTGTGTGTGTGTGTGTGTTTCAGGTCTTGGGCGATCTCTCCCAGCAATATTGTGATAAAGGCAATCTGAAGGTCAAACCCGTAGCCGGAACTGCTCTGCTGTGGTACAACCACCTCTCAGATGGCAATGGTGAATTCATTTTATGGCATACTTCCCTTTAACTTTGTAATCCAACTAGCACCATTGTTAAAAAATGTTGAAAATTTTTCAAACAAACATGCTAATTCATACCACTCTGCTGAAAAATCCAGCTTAAACCAGCCTAGGCTGGTTTAAGCTGGATTTTTCAGCAGGGCAGCAAAGTTAAACATGGTAGCAACATGCTATTTCATGTTAACACATTGTAAGTATTTGCTAGCATCATGTTAATTTATGTTAACTACATGATAAACGTGCTGGTAACATCTTAAAAACATGCTAATTTATGTTAGCATAGGAATAACAACATGTTAAGCGTTAAAAACATCTTAACAACATGCCAAAATATATAAGTCTTGTATTACACATGCTAAGAAAACATGCTTATTACATTTTAATGTTTAGCCATGTTAAAAATGTTAGCAATGTTAGCATTAAAACCTTTTAATGCTCGTTAAACATTGAAAGGTGCTATAAGCAGGCTAAGTGCCAACATGCTACAAGCTAGCAATATATATTAACATTGACACCATGCAACATTTTACAATTGTGCTACAACTTTAGTAACATTCTGAAACATTCTAACATGTTACAACCAGAAATATAAAAAATTATTCAATAACAGGATTCGAACTAGTGTAGTCAAAAGGTTCAGCACACGTACCAATTAACCTAGCTACTAAGCTACTCTGGACTACACATGAAATGGTCTGTTTTAATATTATTATTGGTTAAAATATGTTCTGCTGTGGTTGTGGACTCGTGTTAACTTGTTTCCATAGACCAGGAGTCACCAATCTCGTTCATGGAGGTTCGCTGCCATGCAGGGTTTAGCTCCAAAGTGCCTTAACACACCTGCCTGGGTGTTTCAAGTATACCTAGTAAGACCTTAGCTGTGTCCCAAATCGCATACTTATGCACTTTTCTATGCCATTTTGTAGTATAAATAGTGTAAGTAGTGCGTTCACACTGAAAACTCTAAAAAATAATAGGTGCACTTTAATTACCCGGATGATGCACTCATTCAGCCGCTAAAATGACATGTGGAATGATGGACACTTCACGCACTCAACGACCGCAGGTTTGCCTACGTAGTGGAAGGGGCGGAGCTATCGGACGCACATGTTGGATAACTTTATTTATTTTGGATGGTGAAAGCAAAATTCTCCTACGAGAGTGATTATAGCGCCTCCCGATGGTGAATGCAGTAAGACTCACGGCAGGTATTATTTGATAATTCAGTCGTTTATTTCACTGATTTGGCAACCGTCAAACGTCATCAGGGAAACGGTTTGAATTTCCGCTTGGTAAAAAACATTAGTGTGCCATTTGGGACGACACTACATACATATACTATCCTGTTGAGTGTGTAAGTGGATAAGTACATAGTGCATAGTGTATAGTGTGCCATTTGGGACGCAGCTCATGATTAGCTTGTTCAGGTGTGTTTGATTAGGTTTGGAGCTAAAATCTGCAGGACACTGGACCTCCAGGAATAAGTTTGGTGACCACTGCCATAAACCCATGTTAACATGTTGTTTACATGTACGCTTGTTTACATGTTTCTAATGCGCTAATCCTTTATGGCATAGATTCAACAAGGTTCTGTAAAATTCCTCAGAGATTTTGGTCCATATTGACATGATAGATTTGTCAGCTGCGCGTCTAAGATGCTAATCTCCCATTACACCACATCTCAGTAGTGCTTTATTGGATTGAGAACTGGTGACTGTGGAGGCCATTTGAGTACAGCAAACTCATTGTCATGTTCAAGAAACCAGTCTGAGATGATTAGCGCTTTATGACATGGTGTGTTGTCCTGCTGGAAATGGCCATCAGAAGATGGGTACACTGTGGTCATAAAGGGATGGACATGGTCAGCAACAATACTAGGGTAGGCTGTGGCGTTGGCACAATGCTCAATTGGTACTAACGGGCCCAAAATGTGCCAAAAAAATATCCCCCACACCATTACACCCCCACCACCAGCCTGAACAGTTGATACAAGGCAGGATCGATCCATACTTTCATGCTGTTGATGCCAAAATCTGACCCTAACATCTGAATATTGCAGCTAAAATCGAGACTCATCAGAGCAGGCAACGGTTTCCAATCATCTATTATCCAATTTTGATGAGCCTGTGCCAATTGTAGCCTCAGTTTCCTTTTCTTAGTTGACAGGAGTGGCACCCCGTTTGGTCTTCTGCTGCTGTAGGCCATCTGCCTCAAGGTTGGACGTGTTGTGCATTCAGAGATGCTCTTTTACATACCTTGAGTGGTTATTTGAGTTACTGTTGTCTTTCTATCACCTTGTCTGGCCATCTGACCTCTGGCATCAACAAGGCATCAGCACCCACATACCTGCCGCTCACTGGGTATTTTCTCTTTTTCAGACCATTCTCTGTAAACCCTAGAGATGGTTGTGCGTGAAAATCCCAGTAGTTCAGCAGTTTCTGAAATGCTCAGACCAGCCCGTCTTGCACTAACAACCATGCCACATTCAAAGTCACTTAAATCCCCTTTCTTCCCCATTCTGATGTTCGGTTTGAACTGCAGCAGATTGTCTTGACCATGTCTACATGCCTAAATGCATTGGCTGATTAGAAATTTGTGTTAAAGGGCCATGAAACCCCCTCGTTTCAGCAGAGTGTTTTCACACCTCTACTTTGGAAAAAGTCAGAAAAGTAGGCGTGTCCAGCTCTGTTTAAGGGGGAGTGTCGGAGGAACTAAAGTGGGAGGGTGTGGGAGTGTCTATTTGGGCACGCGCGAGTTTCAGAGTCAAAATAAACACAGAGGAGAAAGTGATGGTGTTTAACCTACATGGACATCTGTAGTCGAATTATTTGCCAAATTATTAAATGGTGGACTTTAACTGCAGTTTGGCTCTTTCATTCAGGGAATTCATTCATGCCCTTCGCGACAAACGAGATATTTGATTCGAGGAACTGCTCTAAGCGTGTATTTTTCATGCAATGTTTGATACCGCATGGCGAATGAGAGAAAAAAAACCTCCGCATTTCCCGTAAACTTAGATGCACACGACAGGTAGTGTCAGAAAGCCGCGTGTGTTATTCCGGTCACTAAATGCGGTAAAAACCCTACACGAGATTAAAGTTTGGTTGTGGTGCTAACATGTTTACACTCGGTGCAATAGTTAACTTAGTTCGATACGAACAAACTGAATAAACAAAGAGCACTGGTCGCTCTCTTACCAAATCTGTAGAGACAGGACAATCCCCAGCAACTAGAGCCGCGTCTTTATGAAGAGAATACTACAAGCGAATCCGGATCTCAGCGTTTGCAGATGAGAACAGCTCTCAGGTAAACAATGTTCCTCCTTAGACACGCAAGTTATTGTTGTCGAGCGTCGCGTACACTGTAATTCACACGTGACTGAGCTCTCACAGAGAGAAAATGAAACTAAACTTAACGGCAGCAAACTATAAAAGCAACACTTCACGCTTGTTTTGCCAACACAACGTGTCGTCTCTGTCGTGTAAATACGGTGACACTAATGAATATTAATGAAGTTGCACAATAGAGCGCTCTGATTGGTTTGAACCAAGCCTTACTCATGCATTAATGCATCACACTGTAAGACGTAATAAGACTCACTCTGGCACAGACGCCCAGTCTGCACGCTGGAATACACGCTATTATGTCATGACCGTGACGCAGCTTCAAAAATTCGTTTCAAACCGGAAGTACGAATTTGCTTGAAATAACGCAAAAACAACCAATTTACACTTTTCAGTGAAATATAGGTGTCCTAATAGTGTTTTTAGCAGTGTGGGACTCATATACTACTGTCAACAGCTCAAAAAATGTGTTTTGGTGTTTCGTGACCCTTTAACAAGCAGTTGGACAGGAGTACCTAATAAAGTGGCCAGTGAGTGTATTTAACAATAAAACGGTTATTTTCAATTGTTATATTTGTTAACATTACTATTTCAGCTGTATTTTAATCAGTATCTGAGCAGTTTCTTTTAAAACATTAAAAAAGTATTATTATTCCAGCGCACAATGAATATAAACGAACTCCCCATTGTTCTCCATTTTTCTTTCAATCAGGTTGGGTCGGAGAGCTGGATGAATTCTCCCTGCACGGCGACTGCTTAGTCACACGAGGCTTTAAATGGACAGGAAGTGTGTGGGTGAACATCGACCCGGACCAGCAGCGTCAGGAGCGCTACCAGCGCCTCGTCTCCTGGCATCCAGAGGGCCACAGCAAAACACCAGAGCATGGAGACTTTCACCAAGACCTCTAAACCCAGATCATACACGTCTGCACTGATCTAGAAGCAGTTTCCACTCGGCAAGTCTTTGTTCGGGAGAATAAAAGCCGGTCCAGTAAGAGATACCCACTGCTGCGAGCTTTACTTTATATAGCTGTGGGCCCCGCTCCGGTGGCATATCATTTAATATTGATGAGCTCAACGGGGAAATTGTTCTCTGAATAGTACCTAGATATCCACGAGTTGCACATAAGTTATTTATTCTATATTTAAGAAAGAGTTTATTTATTCATTGCGTAAATCTTTATTTATTTGTCATATTGCTATTTATTCAGACATTTATTATTCATTAATGTGTGGTGTGTATTTATATATTTAAATATAGTCACATGATGTGTGTCTATTTATCTCAGGTTTTGTTACGCACTGGTTGTCCTTTTCCATTTTAATGCACTATTTAAGACAAAGAGTTCGTCAGGTTTGTAAGTTAATTTAAGAAATAAATTTATACATGTAGAGCGGAGTATGTGTGTTTTTTTTATATATATATATATATAAATTCAGTTTTCTGTTAGAATTATATGAAGGCACTTGCACTGAGATTTCTCTGATATGCAAGTGCACGTGTTTCCCACAAGAGGGCATCATATACACTTTCACTAGGTCTCTGCTTACATGTGCATAGCTGAAAAGCCTTCAGATCCTTTAAATCAGTAATTCAGGTTAGTTACAAAAGACATGAGTTGTATAAATATATAATTTTTTTAATATAATATTTTTAGGACATCAAGTTAAACTAAATAAAATTTAACATTGCCCTCACTTTGTTTATTTTACTTTATAATATATAATTCAACTGTTAATAATAATGACCTTGCTTGTCGTATAAGATAGACAACATGCTAAACATATCATGCTAACAGTGTCTAAAAACATACTCGCAACATGGTATTATCATACTCCTCAATATCATGTTGCTAGCATGTTTTAGAATTTTGACATTTTAACGTTATGGGTATGTTTAAACGCATTGCTAGAAGTAATGTGTTAAAACATGCCAACAGGTTAAAGATGGTACAATTCTAAAACATAGTATAGCAATTTGTTAAATAATGCTAAATTGTAATAAACAACATGCTAGCAACATAATACTGGAGAGTGAAACCTTCTAGCAATGTTAAAACATGCTCATAGAATTTCAAAGATGTCAAAATTCGAAAACATGCTAGCAATGAGTTAAATAATGCTAAATTATGACAAATAACGTGCTAGCAACATAACATTGGTGGGTAAAACCTTCTGGCAATGTGTTAAAACATGCCCACAACAGATGTCAAAATTCTAAAACATGCTAACAATGTGTTCATCAATATTCAATCCAAGTTTATTTGTGTAGCACTTTTTACAAAATTATGACAAATAACTTGCTAGCAACATTATATTGGGGGTAAAACCTTCTGGCAATGAGTTAAAACATGCCCATAACAGGTTAAAGATGTCAATAGCAATGTGATAAATAACATGCTAGCAACATAACATTAAGGGGTAAAACTTAACAGCAATGCTCAAACATGCCCTTAACAGGTTAAAGATGTCAAAATTATAAAACGTGCTAGCAAATGTTAAATTTTGCTTAATTATGATTAAGAAAATGCTAGCAACATAACATTGGGGGGTAAAACCTTCTAGCAATGTTAAAACATGCCCACAACAGGTTAAAGATGTCAAAATTCTAAAACATGCTAGCAATGAGTTAAATAATGCTAAATTATGATAAACAACATGCTAGTTACATAATATGGGTGTGTAAAACCTTCTGGCAGTATTAAAACAGGCGTATAACAGGTAAAAGATGGCACAATTCTAAAACATGCTAGCAATGTGTTAAATAATACTAAATTATGACAAATAACATGCTAGCAACATAATATTAGTGGGTAAAACCTTCTGGCAATGTGTTAAAACATGCCCACAACAGATGTCAAAATGTTCATTAATATTTAATTCAAGTTTATTTGTCTAGCACTATTTACAAAATTATGATAAACAATATGCTAGCAACATTATATTGGGGGGGTAAAACCTTCTAGAAATGTGTTAAAACATGCCCATAACAGGTTAAAGATGTCAATAGCAATGTGATAAATAATGCAAAACTGTGATAAATAACATGCTAGCAACATAACATTGAGGGGTAAAACTTTCTAGCAATGTTAAAACATGCCCTTAACAGGTTAAAGATGTCAAAATTATAAAACATGCTAGCAATATGTTAAATAATGCAAAATTATAATTAAGAAAATGCTAGCAACATAACATTGGGGGGTAAAACCTAGCAATGTTAAAACATGCCCACAACATTTCAAAGATGTCAAAGTTCTTAAACATGCTAGCAATGTGTTAAATAAAGTAAAACTATAATTAAAAAAGATGCTAGCAACATTATATTGGGGGGGTAAAACCTTCTAGCAATGTGTTAAAATATGCCCACAACAGGTTAAAGATGTCAAAATTCTAAAAGATGCTAGCAATAATGCAAAACTGTGATAAATAACATGCTAGCGACATAACATTGGGCAGAAAAACCTTCTAGCAATGTGTCAAAACATGCCCACAACATGTTAAAGATGTCAAAATGATAAAACATGCTAGCAATGAGTTAAATAAGGTTAAATTATGATTAGAAAACATGCTAGCAACATGATGTTGGCCTAGCATTAGCATTTATGGCTTAGCCTTCGCATACTTGTGTTAAAGATATTATCAAAGTTATGAAACATGCTAGCAATGTGTTCAAAATATGTATACACAATGCTAGCAATATGATGAATCGAGTCCATGTTGCCAAAATTCTGCCAGTTCAGATGGCAAATGCCATTTTTAAAAAACCCACCCTGGACACCTTACATACTATAACGGCTGCACTTCTCCTGTGCCGTCGCCTCTGTGCTGAGCTAAAGAGAAAGGCATGTGAGCTCTTACTGCAATAGATCCTTTAATACCATAAGGCTTAATTCGGAGTCTGGAATTTGGGGGCTTTTGGTGACTCACTAAAAAAGTTTCTTACAACTGTTTAGCTATGCTCTGTGTTTTTATGTGTATCTGCTTGATGAATATAAAATTGAGCTTGGTTAACAACAAAAAGCATATTTAAAGTGTACGAAATCGAAATTTACTTGTCCGCATTAAAGCAGCACAGGTGTCAAGCTCAGAGGGATGGCTGCAGCTCTACACAGTTTAGCTTTAACTCTAATTAAACACACCTGATCAATCTTATTGGGCTCTATTTTGACGATCCGCGCGAAGTGCAAAGCACAGGGCGCAAACGCATTTTGGGCATGTTAGAATCTACTTTTGCTAATATAAGGATGGAAAAATCCACTTTGCGCCATGGCGCATGGTCTAAAAGGGTTGAGTTTATTTTCTTAATGAGTTATAGGTGTGTTTTGAGAATAAACCAATCAGAGTCTCATCTCCCATTCCCTTTAAGAGCCAGTTGCGTCGCACTATTGCACATTTGCTATTTACATGACGACTTTGTTAGTGGAAAAACTGAGCATTTCACTAGCAAGAAAACAGTTAAACAGAGCATCTGCAGAGCGAGAATGAGAGATAAGGCCTCTCATTATCTACTTTCACTTTCGCTCTCGTGGATAGGGAAACCTTGTACACACAGACATAAATTAGCCTATAAATAATTAATTTCGTTTGTTAAGCGCAAATATTAGTTTCAAAACTATTTCTAAATTCAGTTCTAATTTCCAGCAAATGAATAAATGAACAATAATAATGAAGTGTGTTCAAAATACTGAGTTATATCCTACAACAAAATTGTCACGAATAAACTAAAAAAGCCCCCGAGAGGAAGAAGGCATGAAAGTATGTTTTTATATTTATGTAGGCTAGCAAATAATATGTTTTGTAATATTTTAATCCTTTATATTTATATCCTATATATATCCTTATTATTGTCACTGACTCGGTCCCAGTCATTCCCCTCGCTGGCCAGCAGAGGTCACCATCATCGGACTACTGACATTACGTCATCCCCAGACACTGATTACCACACACCTGCAGCACATCTCCTTGATCACCACACACTCACATATAAGCAGCACAAACACACACCTCAGTGCGAAGTCTTGTTCTGCCCCTGCAAACACTACTGAGCGTTTCTACTCCTTGCCTGCTTTCCCCGTTGCTAACCCGGACTGTCTATCGACCTTGCCTTGCCTTGCCTTGCCTTGCCTGCTGCCTGTCTTGAACCCAGCCTGAATACAGACATTGATCCTAGCCGCCTGCCTCCGACTCATGCCTGCAATATCACTCTGTGTTTGCCTGCCGCCAGCCCATCGAACTAATACAACTGTGTTTTATGTGAGTTCGCACACTAGTACCATCTGTGTGCTCTTTATTAAACTGTTTAATAAACATACTGCAAATGGATCCCTCTGTGTCAGACCCTTTGTTACAATTAAATCCTATCTATATATATATATATATATATATATATATATATATATATCCTTAATATTTTAATTATTTTTCCTATGTAAAGATATTTGTGTATTGCTCTACATCTTGTGTGTATTAAGCAGTGTGTAAGCGAAGCGCACAACTAATGTGCTCTGCGCTGGACTTTAGACCGGCTTTGTTTTGGTCTATTGAAAAATCTATTATAGTTTCTCAAAATAGCAACGCGCCAGCAATGCGCTTTAGAACGCCTTCCTTTTTAGACCAGAACACATTTGAGCGCAAATGCATTTGCTATTGAAACAGCGTGGCGCAAAACGTTAAAACGACTCCTGCGCCAAGCTAAAACTAGCAAACAACAATTGCGTCGCACATTGCGGCGGGTGTATGATAGGGCCCATTAAGTCCTTCAGGCTAGTTTGAAACCTACAGGTAAGTGTGCTGGAGCAGGGTTGGAACTAAACTGTGCAGGAACTGAGTTTGACACCCCTGCCTTAAAAACCTATTTAAAGTACTTTAAATGTTTTATATTTTTTACAGACATACAGTATGATCCTTCAAGTGTTTTGCAGCATATAAAATGTCCCAAACACTATTTTTAACTTTCCAAAGTGGCCGAAAAAGTAGTTTTTACTCTCTGATCGTCAAAACATGTTAAAAAAATTATATGTTAAATATGCATTAAAAACAGTCAGGAAGTGTTTTATGTAAATTCGGACCACGAGTACATATGGAGGATATATGGACATCATTTTTCTCTAAAAGTACATCATATCTAAAGATGATACTCAGGTTTTATTCTAATTAGGTTTCATTAATAAGCCCAAATAGCAAAGAGAAATAAAATATGCATGTAAAAACACTTTGGGCCTTAAGAGGTTAAAGCAAAAAATGTTTCAGTACAAGCGAATCTGGAAAAAAAAAACTTTTATTTTGATGAACTTTCATCCAAATCTAACCATTTTCTTAGGCTCCTTCTCTATAGGTGTCAGTTTGATGGATTGGGTGAAATTTGCTTAGATATGCCCGCTTAAACCGTGAGG